TTGTTTGCAACACTGAATGGTAGAGCTATCTTGAGGTTATGAGGACAACATGAACACACACTAAGGTTAGCAGAGCTATATGCCTGACAACATTTCTAAGGTTCTGTTCCAGCTTCTGAATTTCTATTAAGTGAGAAAAATAAATACACCCTTTGGATCTCACTATAGCTGGTTTCTGTTGTTTACAGCAGAATGCAGCTCTTTTTTTAAAAAAATATATTTTATTGATTTTTTACAGAGAAGAAGGGAGAGGGATAGAGAGTTAGAAACATCGATGAGAGAGATCGATCAGCTGCCTCCTGCACGCCCCCCAGTGGGGATGTGCCCGCAACCAAGGTACATGCCCTTGACCGGAATCGAACCTGGGACCCTTCAGTCCGCAGGCCGACGCTCTATCCACTGAGCCAAACCGGTTCGGCCAGAATGCAGCTCTTGGCTTTTAAAGAATTTCTTGGAAGATGATTAAATTAGTGAATTTGAGTTTAGTACTCCATAAGAGTGGGTAAGTCCCCACTCTTAAACGTAAAGGAGAAATGGCAAAATACAGGGAAAAGACAGTATCATTACCTGTCAAGAAAGAAAACCCTTATACCTATACCCTAGACCTCATTTCCACTCACCACCCTTTACTGGTGGCTAATGCAAATCATTAAACTCAAATAATGCTCATCTAATGAGTATCACTCCCAGTCTCATTTCCATCACAATTTCTGCAGTGTAATAATAAAGTATATACTAACATTTCCAAAAACAAGTTATTTTGAAAATAAGTTCTGGAGATTTTAATATATGTTACACCTAGAATTCTGTCATCAAGTAAGTTCAGGAAATAAGTTAAAGTTATAGGTAGTCAGTACTCAGGTCTTCTCAGAGCTTTACCACTGTGAATGTCCAAAGGAAGGTTTTACTAGGAGCCCTTCTCAAAATTATTTGTCCAGGCCTCCCCTCCTTCCCAAAGCCACTGGAGGAACTAGTATTTCACAAAAATGCTTTGAGAAACAGGTAAAAATGGCACAAGCTCCCAAATATATGGGTACTGTACCCCAAGGAGCAGAATTTTGCTCTGTCCTTTATGGGTCTCTCATGTTAAATGTAAAGATCTTTATTCAGATTTTTCCTGCAATGTACAAGTGTAAATATACAAGGATCTCTGACTGCTCTGGAACAATGAACAGAAGCAAGCCATTTTTATTCTCCTTAGGTACAAGTTCAGGCAATACCCATTTAAGTGGGGTTCCCAAGAGGAAATGAACACGAATCCTCCTGGAAAGTCCTCAAGAAGGAGAAAAGGAGGACTGAGTCACACGAAACATTGGAAACATTAAGCTTGTAAGTTACTATATTATTACAAATTATATAACAGAACCCTAGGAGTGTCACATACTAATATCTCTAGCACAAGTTCACTAGAACCCATTTTTAGAGATTTTCAGTATATACTTTATTATTAACCACAGTAATTGAAATGGAAGTGAGGCTGGGAACAATCCTCATTAGATGAACATTGTTTGCATTTAAGGACTAGCCATTGCTGAGATTAAAATGGAACCAATTTCAATGACATTCCTTGGGGCATTTGAGAGTGTCCACGATCTAAATGAGTTCTCAAGGGAGCTGAACCAGCCAGATGCCAGTAGAAAGGAAAGTTTTCCTCATTCAACCCTCCATAGACAAGTGGAGCAGCAGACTGATTTTTCAGATCAGTCCCCTGTGAAGATGGTCTGCAGATGACTATCAAACCCTGAACAGGCTGTGGCGGTGAAGTCACACAAGCCTTAGCTCTAAAAATGAAGGAATCATGCGCTTTAAACCTCTTAAGAGCTTAAGAAGAGATGAAGCTCCTAAATCCACAGCCCATTAAGCATACACTAACGTCTGTGTGATGCCCCTGACAGGTCTGCTTAAGAGGATTATTAATGTCCCATCAATAGAAGCCCAAATAGGAGGCCGAGAGCTTAGAAAACATCAGAGATTTCTTTAATTTTAGCACACAACTGGGTACTGATTTTAAGGCTTAAAAAGCCATTTGTGGAACGATCAGGCAGCAGTTTCAATTTATTATATTATTTTACTTTATTAATACACACTTATATAGAGCTTGCTATGTCCTGGGCACTGTCATAAGTACTTTGCAATGAGAAACTAATTTAATCCTTTTAATAGTCCTACTCGTAGGGTTGTGTCCTCATCCACATTTTACAGATGAGGCCACTGAGGCACATAAAGGTCATAAGGCTAGTTTCTATAACCAAGAAACGATAGTAGCTGCTCTAGAAGCCCCCCTGACCTTCCAGCTGTATTGTCACCCGTGTTCCCTGTGCAAGTGTCTATGGCACTTCATGTACTAATGCTGCCCTTCCAAGGGGGCTCCCACTGGACTTTGAAGTCCCTGGGGCCAGGGTCCCATCTTATTCACTCATCCCCGTATCCTTATGCTCAGTGTTCAAACCATATTTTCCAAATGGATAAAAAAGTGCAGCTCCATATCGCTTATCTATAACTCTTGGGGCTACATGTGTCTTAAAATTCAGAATATTTTGGATTTTAGAAAGTTCACACACTATACATGACCACTGGCGGGATCTGGGACAGCAATCCATAGTAAAATACATGAACAATTCTACAGTTAAACTTATGAATAGTAACATTAAGTAAGTAAATAAAGATTAGGAATATAGATAAAGACTAGAGATAGCCGAATGAGAGTTTACCAACAAGTGTGCTATGAAGAAAAAAAGCACTTTGGGAGTTTTGGGGTTTTGGAATCACAGGTAAGGGATTGTGAGTCGCAATTTCTATGAAGGCCTCTAACACAGTTGTGCAGATTACAGCACTGTCTTATTGTAAAAAGAAAAAATGCTCCATTCATTCAGTTACTACATACTGATGACCATGCCGAGAACTTGGAGGACACCTGGTGGAGACCTGGATCCATACTGGGCTCTTGGCACATAAGTGCCAACTCAGGGAGATTAGAGAGATGTGGGACTAAAGAAAATAGCCCTGGACTAAGGCTCAGGAGAAAGGGTTCAGAGGGAGTTCCACTCCCTTCCAGCCATTTATTTTGGGGAGAGCACAAGACCAACTTGACAGACATCCACAGTCATTATGGAAAAGAGTCAGGTGCTGGAGGATCATAATCATGTTATCGTGTGGCCTTGAGGTAATCCAGTTTGGGATACTACATAATTCAGTGTCCGAATCGAAGGAGGCAATGGTAATATCTACTCTGGAACAAAAGTATTAATCAGAACTTCTTTCAGGCAAACAGAACACATGGTCACCCCAACTACAGCACAGCGGTGAGCCTGGGCTCTGCGGCCAGATTGCCTGTCCCCAAATCCAAGATCCACACTTAGAGCTTTGTGACTCTGGACACATTATGCAACTGCTCTCTGCCTTGGTTTCCTTGTCTGCAAATGGAGTAACAGACCCCTTTCACAATGCTGAAGTGAGGACCAGATGACTTGCAACACAGAACATTCAGGATAATGCCTGGCACGTTGCAAGAGGTCAATAAGAGTTAGTGATCATTATACTTCAAGGCCATATTCTAAATTCCCACAATTCACAGCATAGAATCTTCAGCGTTTCCCCACAATCCCAGCCAGCAGGCAAAGGGCTGGTATGGCTCAGCACCAGTAGACAGGTCTCTAGGACGGCTAACAGTCTCTTCCTTGGTACCTGCTCCCTCACACTCCCATTTCTGCTTTCCCATCCTGAGCTCATTTTGGAATGCAGAGCAGTAGTGCCAGTCTGGCTCCTAACATGCTTTGTCACAAAACACAGCAAAATCCTTTGTTATTAGAACGGGAGATTAACTTCTAAAGCAGCAGTCTTTGCAGTGAGTATGCCGATGTCCACTGGAAAGAGGGGGTGGTATTTTACTTCTAATTTTAAACTGGTGTATACTAAAATTCTAATCTGCTAACAACATTTTAAAATGCCAGCTGCACAGACATGTTCCCGAATATATTAACTCTTGTCACCTTCTGTCCCAAACAAACCCCAAGTATATGTTGTAAGACACATATATTACAAGTACAAACTAAACTGCTTTCTGCTGAACTTGGCATAAAGATAATGATTATACTGTTTATATGAATTATAAAAACAATAGCCACAACAATTAATTTTATTCAGTGCATACTATGTGCCAGGCATTGTTCTAAGCACATTGTGGGCATTTAATCCCAAACAATTCCATGAAGTAGGTACGGTTATTATCCCCATATTACAGATGAGAAAAATGAAGCACGGAGAGGTGAAGTCACTTGCCTATGATACTTATAGATGTAGTAAGTGGTGGAGGCAGGATTAACCTCAGGCAGTCTGGCCTGAGTGCACCCTCTTAAAGGCAAACTCCACTCCCTCTCCTGCTGGAAAGCAGGGAGACTTCCTGTTGCACAGCAGGAGCCACCTGGGACACTGCACTCCTGGAAGACAAGTCCTCACTGTCTGTGCCTGTGCTGCGCGCTCCGTGAGGATGCCTTCATCTCCTTTGTCTCCCTGGCAAACTCCTACACAGCTGCCCCCTCTGCTTCCAGCCTTCCCTGCTCACTGGGCACCCTGTAGGTCCTCAAGGCACATAGTGAGATTTCCGTTTGGCAGTTAGTCAATAACTGGTAAGTGTTTTTTTTTGAGGTACTGATGTTTAAACAGTATTAGCCTTACGAAGAGATTCGAAGCAGACTTTCTTTTCAGCATAAGCTCCCTGAGTTAATTTACTACATGATTTTACTTATGGAATTGTGATTTGCACTTACCTAAGTCTACATTACAAACAATGATACACTAAATATCTGTAGAATGTTTGAGCAGGTTGAATAACTTGCTCGTAGCTTGAATAACTTCATGCATCTCAATTGAGGAGGCTGTTGTTTTTCCTCGACGCAGTTTACCAAAGCGGATAGACTCCAAACCGCCTGTGATCAGAGCCGTCTGACCCCCAACACACAGGCCACTGGATGCGATGCTCCAGGGCAGCACAGGCACCTTACTTGTTAATGTTGCTGCCTTCTTTCAGTCGCTCTCCGGCGGCTCCTGTTTTGGACACTCTTTCGCTTCCAGCCAGGTCCACCAAGCTGACCTTGCTGACTTTCTCTCCAGAGTTCTGGGTGCAGGGGACAGAGAGAAACAACGCATGTGAACACAGAAACCGAATGATTTCTACATATATGTCAGCACTGTAACTGAGAGCAACCGAGCAGCCATCCGCTACAGCGAGGCTAACGTCTCAAGATCTGAAACCGTCAGTTATCTGGACTAGCAACTTATAGTCAAAATTTAAGTTGGTGCGGTACTGTAGCATTCTGTACAGCAGCTGGGAAGCAATCCAGAATGCACCCAGGAAGCTGGAGATTTTACGTGCCTATGAGGAAATACTAGGGCTTGAGGATTCCTGCGCATTCAGGTCAAACAGCTCTTCTTTTGAGAAAGTGCTCTTTAGGCTAAATGTTGAGGTTTCCTCTTTAATATCCCTTAATGACAGTGAGGTAGACTCAGTTGCTTTTAGGTGAGTTTCAGTATGAAAGAATACATATTAAAAGCTGTCTGGTGACATCATGATGCTCTTCAGAGAGTTCACACAAGAAATTCAATTAAAAAAGGTTATATATAGGTTGTCCTCAAAAATGTATACACACATTTAAATACATATAAAGTTTGTTTATTAAAATACATTTCATTTTCAAAATTGAGCTATCAGTTGTTAAAGTGTGTATACATTTTGGGGAAAGACCTAAGAAATTAAATGATTTAAGCAAGGTACGTAGAAGAACCAGCACAAATTTTTCAGCTGCTAAACCCAACCACGAAACACATCACCCATGCAGATACTTTAAGATGTTTTACTGCCAGCAAAGGGTCTGCCCAGTCCCTCACCCCAGACTGCAAGTCATAAAGTGTCTGTGTGACTATGATGTTGAACACGGCGTGCGAGCGGCTACTTTCTTCATTCATGTTGGTAGCAGCTACCGTCCGAGACTTATTTCCCTCAGACATCAGTGACTCAATATCCTAAAGGCAAAGCACAAGGAAAACATTATAAGCAAAAACATATGACCACAGTCCTGCCCACCAGGTGTATGTATTAATTATGATCCTCTGACTCATTCGCCACCACCCTTTCATAACCCGCCCCCCGCCCGCCCCCGCCCCTTCACCGAGCATGGTTCAGTTTCCTCCTCCCTCGGTGCTTCCTAGTATATGAAATGTTCCCCCTTCTTTCTTACCCACAACTATCTTCTTTCTCTGTTAATTACCAATTCTTTCCTTTGCAAGTTACTAGGGAACAAAAGAGCTAATATTTATTGAGCACTCCAGATGTGCAATAATGGTGATTATCTTACTTTATTAGAACTCTTTGGGCTTAACAACTCTAGCTATTTACGCTCACTTATTTGCCTCTATCCTCCAACACTATGGCTCTCCAGGGAATTTTCCTTATTCACCTTTGTACTGCCTTACAACACTTAGAACCTATGGATTCTTATGCAATGTTTGATGAATGAACCTTATAAAGAAAGTATTCACAAGACACTGAAGTTCACAGAGTGATCACTCCAACAAGTCTAGTACCCATCTGAAAAATGTCTTCATTTAAATGGCTAGAGAGTTACCTCACGGATTAATTTTAGTCATGCTGAGTGAAGACAGGATAGGCACAACACAGAGATAGCAAGACTAAGTTTAGGGATGTATTTGCTCATTCATTCATTGGCTTTCTTCAGCAACAGGTAGCAGTTTGTGTTAGGAGATTTCCAAAGCAATGACAATAAAAACCAAGGTACAACATCAAGTCAGGATGTAAGAAGGCATAAAAATCAAGAAGTAGGAAAATGGAGAGAGGACTGATTCCAAAAAATAGAAGAAACAGAAGAGTGAAAAGTAATGGAAACTAAGGCAGGGGACCCTATCAAAGAGAAAAGGTTGAATTAAATACCAGATACTCTTTACATTTGAGGAGTGTGATGAAAGGCCCCTTTTTTCTGTTTGGGGTGTGTTGATCCCTGGGTCCTTGGAGCCCATGAATGATATCAATATGCTATAAAGCTTTCACATAAAAATAAATTCAATATTACTCACATACTTCAATTTACTGTCAGTTATTTAATGACATTTTAAAACAAAAACACTTACCTCAAAACTAGTGACAGCCAGTTGGGATAAACCATCTACATACGGTCCCAAAACTTTATGCTCTCGAACTTTAAGAGACTGTCTACTCCTTCAGGAGAAAGAAAAAAGGAATGAATGAATCAGACAAAACTCGGAGGCTTTCTTTCTTTTTAAGTATTCATAAACCAAGATGGCAGTTTCAAAATAACTTTTTTAATAATAAAAAAATGTCCTAAAAGCTACTTTATTTAGATCAGCAAGATAGCATTCTTTTCCAGAAATGTTTTTTATACTCTGACTTCTATTTAAAGTAACTTACTATTTTAAAATTTCTATCTCCTCTTCCAAACTAAACAGCCGGCACACAGAATGCTAGGTTAGGCCAACTTGCTTTAGTAGATGAACTTCACAGGAGGAAAAAAAAAGAAGACAAAGCGAAGAACATTCCAGAACTGAATTTAACAACTCAAGGCTATTTTATAAATAAGCACATTCTCAGTAAATAATATCTTAATATTTGGACCACACAGTAAACAATATTGAAGTGTTCTGTTTTATTTTTAATTTACTCTTCCAAGTCTGTATTGATTTATGCTGCTTCGATGCTGACAATTTCATACAGAAAGTGATATTACAGCACAGCAGTTGCTTGCAGTTACTGATATTTATCCTGCCTTTAGAATTGCCTCTGCTGGTGAAGATTTTAGGGCTCTTTTAAATTTTAAATGGCAAACATGGTTTGGAACCCATTTGAACAGTGTATCAACAGGTGATTGAGATGAAAAGCAAAGCGACACAGATTATGACTATATTGTATATGTCAGTCATCTTTTTCATGGCATCAGATATTAATCACCTTTCAAATCAAGAGTCAGTGCTTAGCATCACTCAAGTGTGGAAAAAAGGACCTAAGAACCACTGATGCTTCCCCAGGTCTTCTAAGAACATTTCAGTTTTCCCACTTAATCTTACAACCCTACAAAATAGGTATTACTAACTTTAATGATGGCAAATTCAATGTGACAATGAGCAATTCTTCTATACTCTAAACAGGGGCAGACCAAATGCACACATTTACAAGGGCGACTTTGATGCACACAGACCCAGAACTCAGCTCACTCTGCTTGCACAACCAGAGAATCTTTAATGTTACTCATGAGCCAGAAAAAGTCAATTTAGCACAATATCAAGTGCCTGTGATGGCGTCTGACATCTGGAATTCGTGAACACTGCTGCTGGGAATGTGAACTGGTACAATCACTTTGGAAAACAGTCCCACAGTACCAAATAAAGTTAAAGATTCAGTATCTTTATCTTTGACCTACAATTCCACCCCTAGATGTATTCCTTAGAAACGCATGCATTTGTACACCAGGAGAACTGTACAAGAATGCTCAGAGCAGCACTGCAGTGGTAAAAAGTGACAACTACACAAATGACAGGAGATGGGATAAATAAAGTATGGTATAATCATACAACGGAATACTACAGAGTAGTAAAAAGTAATGCCTTATTACTTAATATATCAAAATGGGGGTAAATAAATTATGGTATAATCATACAACGGAATACTAAAGAGTAGTAAAAAGTAATGACTTATTACTTAATATATCAGAATGAACGAATCATTGAGTAAGTCACCAAAGGACACGTATAACTATGATGTCACTTATACATAGTTAAGAATTATGCAAAAGTATGCATTAACTTTAAAGAAGAGGAAGATAAGAAGGGGTAGAGAATAGAATGGGATCCAAGAGGAACATATAGGAGGCTTCAAAAATATTGGTCATGTTCTATTTATTAAAGAACATGTAGGATAGTCTTTGGTTTTATTATTCTTTATATCATACATGTGTTGTAAATGTTCTTCCACATGCATTAAATAGTTCATAAACATTTCCTATGAGTGGGTTACTCCTTATTACCCATAATTTTGATCTTATGCCTTTGATTATAACCTTAATTATACAGCTGCTAAAAGCACTTAAAATATTTTTAATAACAAGAGAAAGTGTTCATTTTGTTACACAGAAAATTCAGAATATTGAACTATATTTAGAGAATGACTTCAACACACACACATCATAAATTTGAAATATAGGATCAAAATGCACCAAAGTATTAACAGTGGTTATTTTTGAGTGGTGAGATTATAGGTCATTTTTATTTCTTCTTACATATTGCCCATTTTCTAAATTTTATAAATATATATTCCTTAAATCAGTAAAAAACATTTAATTAAAAAAAGTTAATGGCCCTCTCCTTCTATGAATCAAACTCATTTTGTTTTTATCACCTAGTTTTTTAAAAATACAGATGCATGGGTTTTCCCCTATGTCTACTGAATCCTAGCCTATGTGGGTGGGGCTCAGGCCGGTGTATCTTTAAAAGCCCTCCCCCTGATTTCAATGCATAGCCCGGGAAGAGAATGACTTGCCTGGGCTGGGTGATTTCAATCCTTCAACTACTTTACCTCCAATTTAGAGGTGCTGCTTCCCAACGCAAATGGAAGGACCAATGTGTCTTTTTTTTGAATCCTCACCCGAGGACATTTTCATTGATTTTTAGAAACAGAAGGGAGGGAGGTTGGGGGGAGGGGGGAGGGAGGGAAGGAGGGGGAGAGAGAGAGAGAGAGATCCATCTGTTGCCTCCCTTACGTGCCCTGACCAGGATCAAACCTGTAACCTAGCTATGTGTGCTGACCAGGAATTGATCCCCTGACCTTCTGGTGTATAGGATGATACTCCAACCAATTGAGCCACACCGGCCAGGGCCAATGTGACATTTTAACTCAATTTTTATGAATAAACCATGGTGGCCAAAATAATACAAATAGCAAAAACATCTTTTTTAAATGGCATATATAAGCAACATTATACATGAATATGGTATAAACCAGTGGTCGCCAACTGGTGGTCCATGAGGTCCGAAAGGCTGGCGACCGCTGGTATAAACTATGTATACTGGGCATACCAATTGGCTTGGAGAGCTGATGATTCCTCAGTAAATGAATGGAAACCAGAGTAGTGACCAAGGCTCAAATAAATATTCACTTGAAGCTTTAGCTTTAGGATCATTTAAAATTATTACCTCTAGTACAAGCTTAATTTCACCCCCTAACTTACCCTTTGGGGTCCAAAAGATCTCGAACTTTCTCATTATAAATTTCCATATAGGATACTTCCACTTTAAAGGTCTGTGACTCATTTTGCTCCAGAGAGATCCTTTTAAATAAAGCACAGCAGAGCCTTGGGATGAGGCCCAGCTGCTCAGCATTGCCCATCATAGAGAAGGATTTTCCTGAGCCTGGAGAAGAGCAAGCAGAAAGAAAGGAGCATAAACAAGGAAGCAAAATGTAATGATTCCACCACATAAGTCTTCTACATATATCATCCAAGGTCACAGTGGAAGAGGCAAACTTGGCCCCCAGGGCCAACCCTCAAACAATACGGTTACTATTCTTTCTTTAAAAAAAAATGTTCTTTATTGTTGAAAGTATTACAGATGTCTCCCTCCCTCTTCCCCCATTGACCCCCCCCACCCTGCTCCCTAGACCAAGGCTACTCTTCTTTCTATTACACTCATGGCTTCTAGTTTCACTCTCATTGTGAGATCCAGAGGGCACCTCATCTACAGGTGGAAAACACAAATATAACCATTGTAAGCAGCAACTATACAGTATCAAGTAACATTAACAGTAATTACCCCAAACTATTTTGTTTGTGAAAGTGCTTTGATATATATTCTCTTATCTGAGTCTCCTAGTTGTCCTGCAATGTGACCAGAGGCAGTATTGTTATGATTGATGGATTTATTCTAACTTTATAGTTGAAATCATGGTGGCTCAGAGAATTAATGGCTGAGACACTAGTATGTTTTTGTTTTACTTGTTTCAACCAACTGTGCCACGAGCCTAGGTGTAGTAATCCATCATCATTCTGTATCCCAGTGACAGTCCTCTGTTATAGAATGATGCCAAGAGTTTTTAAAAATAGTTTTTACTATAAGATTTGTACTGAGAAAATGGTAATTATTTTTCTAGTTCAAATACAAGTTAAAGCTATAATTTAGGAAAATTACATTTAATAGTTTGAAACTAGGTTTGCTCATTAACACTAAAATTACTCAATTACCAAAACTGTTGAGTCATCAAAAAGAGGGTTCCTTTTGATCACCTAATTCCTAATTCAGTTTAACCACAAAGGCAGAAGCATTTTTTCTGTTGCTTCCCAAAGTGTTTTCTACTTCTATGTTTTAAGAAATGCACATGTAATATCATTGACTGTAAATAAAAGCAAGGACTTACCTGTCTGTCCATATGCAAAAATACAAGCGTTATACCCCTGAAAGGCTTTTTCAAGAATTCCTTCCCCAAGGCACTTGAAAACCACCTCTTGACCTACAAATGAAAAAAAAAAAGATGTTTCTTGATATATTTGTATTAATAACTGAGTCTCAGTTAACAGCATTCTCTAACTTCAAAAAGATGTTAAAAGTGAATTACTGTGTGCCTACCATGTGTAGGACCAAGTTACTAGCTTAATGCATGCAATTTTATTTATTCTTCTTAACTACAGCTCAGTACCTGGATCGATTTATGATTCTACCTACTGCTTCCTTCTAAGGCAGTGGTTCTCAACCTTGGCTGCACATTAGAATCACCTGGGACTCTTTTTAAAATCCTGATTTCTGGGCCTCATCCTCCGGAAATTCTGTTTCTTTGTTACTATTGTTGTGGCCTCACCCCAAAACAAAGAAACAGAATTTCCAGAGGATGAGGCCCAGAAATCAGGATTTTAAAAAGATTCCCAGGTGATTCTAATGTGCAGCCAAGGTTGAGAACCACTGTAATCTAAGGCATTTCTCTTCAAGGCATTAAAGTTTCCTTCCCATTGTTAGTAGGCCATATGGAAGTATCATTTAAATTTGGTTTCATTTCTTCTCATGAGTTAGCATTAAAATGTCATGAAACATGAATTCTCTTATTTCCTCATCTGGATTCTGAGCTGGATTCTCATGATGCGGAACCATGCCATACACGTTTCGGTATATGCGTGCACCTCTGCACGTAGCATGGGGATAAGTACCTGCCACGTGCTTCGAAGCCGTTTATTGCTGGTGGAGGTGATGAGTTGAGCACAGACACCTCTCACCTGTGTTCTCACGGGGGGTTCAGGGACAAGCTCTCTTTGGTGAGCCCGTCTATAGCTTACTGCAGCTCTTGGGGGAGTTGTCATTTAATACACTAGTAAATATTACGATAGCATCCGTAGCATACAGCTGAAAGTCTGAAAATCTTTTTAAACACTTAAGGTTTCTTTTACTACTCTTTGAAATTGGTAACATTCATTCCACCATGATTAAGAGAATGAAAATGGTGTTCTCCTTCTGCCATGCTCTTACAGTCCTCAGAACATCCACTATTACAGCCTTTGCAGAAACTACTGGTTTAAGTACCACTTGCCTCCAATGGCATGATACCCCCTGACTGTGTCAGAGACTATAATCTGTTTATCTTTGTAATCCTGGTGCCTAGTACAAAATTTTAAATTAATATTTATTGAAAAAATGAGCCCATTTAACCTTTTTATCCTACATGACAATTTCTTTTACATTTGGAAATAATGCAACATAATAAAAGCTTTTGGGCCCTAGCCAGTTTGGCTCAAAGGATAGAGCTTTGGACTGCAGACCGAAGGGTCCTGGGTTCGATTCCAGTCAAGGGCACATACCTCGGTTGCAGGCTCCTCCCTGGCCAGGCCCTGGTCAGGGCACATGTGGGAGGCAACCAATCAATATGTCTCTCTCACATCGATGTTTCTCTCTGTCTTTCCCTCTCTCTTCCACTATACCTAAAAATCAATGGAAAAATATTCTCGGGTGAGGATTAACAAAACCAAACAAAAAATAAATAAATAAAAGCTTTTGGGTATATGTCCTTCTTTTATGCAAAGTTGGATCTGATTTTAGCAGTCCTTTGTTATACTATGACATATCTTGGTTGCAGAATCGAATTCTTAAGAATGTGTAAATGTGAAACAAAATATAATATTTTCAACCCTTAGACTGACAAAAACTAAAATGTTGACAACATGAACTATAGCTGGATTGAGGAAATAGGTATTTTCACAAGCTGTTGTAAGAATAAACAAATGCAGCCATTGTGAAGGAAAACCTAACAGCACCTATAAAAGGAAATCTTCCCTCATTGTCTGACTCACTGTGAGGCATCTAGCCTAGGACACAAGGGACTCTTGTAAAGGATGCTCATAGAAGCATTATTTATTCTACTATAAGTTGCAATCAAGTTAAATGCCCATTTGTAAGGGAGTGGATAAAGTGACTATTTTATATGATGTAATACTACAAGTCATGTAAAAACAAACAGATAAACCTAAGAATTTGTGTATAAACAATGCTAGAATTCAAAAACATTGTTGAATAAAAGAAGTCATGTTAAGACTGTAGTACATCTACACTAATAAAAGACAAAGATGCTAATTGACCATACCTTCGCTAAGCCCACCAGACAATCAGAAGAGTATTCAAATTAACCCAACAAAGATGGCTGGTAAATTTGCATACTGCAGGTGGGGTGGGCAGTGCCAGACGTCGCCCACAGGATCCGGGCTGCAGATCGGGACCAGGGAGGCGGGGTGGGCAGCGCCAGATGCCACCCGGGGAGGTGGAGCCAGCCCATCGATCGCACAGGGCTGGGGGTCCCCTGCCCAGGCCTAACGCCCCGGTCAGAGGCCTGAGGCCTGGGCAGGGGCTGAGCCGGGGATCGGTGTGAACTACAGAGGAAACACCTTTTCTGACGGCTCATTGGCTAAGCTCCCTGTATGCCACTGGTAATATTCTTAGTAACTTGGGTAATAAAATCCAAGAAGGTGATGTAGGGTTTTTCCACCTCACTCCTGGAGAAAAAAAATGAAGGTCTGCTGCTGGAGGGGCTAAGAAATATCATATCCTGCCCTAGCCGGTTTGGCTCAGTGGATAATGCCTCGGCCTGCCTACCACAGGGTCTGGGTTCAATTCTGACCAAGGGCATGTACCTAGGTTGCAGGCTCTTCCCTGGCTGGGGCCCAGATCAGCGCTCATGCAGGAGGGAACCAATCAAAGTGTTCCTCTCACTTTGATGTTTCTCTCTGTCTTTCCCTTTCTCTTCCATATTCTCTAAAAATCAATGGAAACATATCCTCAGGTGAGGACAAAAAAAAATAATAAAGAAATGTCATATCCTATCAAAGAGACATCTTGAAAATGCCTAAAGAAAGTTGTCATTTTTTCATGGTGAAGGGACTGGAGTCTGTGTTGATGGAAACACCTTGGTGGCTGCGGTGACTGGCAGTGGCTGCAGCAGCAGGGTGATGGGGCTGGTGCCTTCCCCTGATCAGCCTGGTCACCTCCCACAAAGGGAGGCCAGACTGCGGCTTAGGCCCGCTCCCCAAGGGGAGCAGGGAGTGGGCCTACGCAGTCACTAGGACATCCCCTGAGGGCTCCCAGTATGTGAGAGGGTCGCAGGCTGGGCTGAAGGACACCCGCCCCCCAGTGCACGAATTTCGTGCACTGGGCCCCTAGTATAATATAAAGACTTACATCAAATAGTGTGTGTGTGTGTGTGTGTGTGTGACAGAGAGAGAAATCTATGGATACTAACGTAAAAAATATGGATTGGAAGAAAATTTATCAAATTTATATACCAAATTTATATAACCTTACTTCACTATTTCTGACTTCTAACAACCTAGCACAGAGCCTGGTACCTAAGAGGTATTCAAAACATGCTGGTGGAATACGTGGCCTTTTTTTATTTTTATTTTAAGTACAATTATAAGAGGCTTTGCTAAACACACGGTTTGTTGAGAAGACTACCTAAAGAAGAAGGTATTGTCAAATTACTATCTACTAAACACACTTTCAAAACTGCTCTTATGTTAAAGCCTTATGCTTACGAAGAAAATATTTGACCCACCCTATTGCTGACCTTCATACACATCAATATTTTTTCCCATAGATTTTCTCAAAGGACCTTCCTTATTCCATAGGTATTCCCAAGGTCCATGCCCAGAGGCTAGCCTTACATTCAGAGCTGAGCACTGTGGTGTAGAAGACTGGGAATTAAACACAGGCTTGTGAGAAGTGAATGCAGTCCTCACAAGTACCACTTGAAGGCATTCTAACAGAACCACTCTCCTGGCACACGGAGATGACTGGAGCAACCCCGTGTGATCGTCCACAGTGGTTAACCAGTCCCCAGGAAGAGTGGGTGAGGGTGGAGACAAGGTGCTTTAGACTTGGAGAGTCAAACATCCTGACCATACTCATGACTGCAATACTTTTATTTCTAAGACAGTAAGTTATTTTTTATTTTTTTAAATTTAAAATGTTTATTGTTTGAAGTATTATGTATGTCTCCTTTTTCACCCATTGACCTCTCCCTGGCCATTCCCACCCCCCAGCACATGCCCTCACCCCCCTACTGTCTGTGTCCATGGGTTATGCATACAAGTCCTTTGGTTGATCTCTTCCCTGCCCCCTGCCTTCCCTCTAAGGTTGGATGATCTGTTCAATGGTTCTAGGTCTCAGGATCTATTTTTGTTCATCAGTTTATGTTGCTCATTATATTCCACAAATTAGTGAGATCATTTATCTTTCTCTGACTGGCTCATTTCACTTAGCATAATGCTCTCCAGGTCCATCCATGCTGTTGCAAATGGGAATTCTTTCTTTTTTACAGCAGCATAGTATTCCATTGTGTAGATGGATGTACCACTGTTTTTTTTAATACACTCATCTGCTGATAGGCACTTAGGCTGTTTCTAAATCTTAGCTATTGTAAATTGTGCTGCTATAAACATAGGGGTGCATATATCCTTTCTGATTGGTGTTTCTGATTTCTTGGGATATATTCCTAGAAATGGTATTACTGGGTCAAATGACAGTTCCATTTTTAATTTTTTGAGGAAACACCATACTGTTTTCCACAGTGGCTGTACTAGTCTGCATTCCCACCAGCACTGAACGAGGGTTCCTTTTTCTCTATATCCTTGCCAGCACTTGTCATTTGTTGATTTGTTGATGATAGCCATTCTGATAGGTGTGAGATGGTACCTCACTGTCATTTTGATTTGCATTTATCTGATGATTAGTGACTTTGAGCATGTTTCATATGTCTCTTGGCCTTCTGTACATCCTCTTTCAAAAAGTGTCTATTTAGATCCTTTGCCCATTTTTTGATTGGATTGTTTATCTTCTTTTGTTAAGTTATACGAGTTCCCTATAAATTTTGGAGATTAAACCCTTACCAGATGTAACATTGGCAAATATGTTCTCCCATGCAGTGGGCTCTCTTGTTATTTTGTTGATGGTTTCTTTTGCTGTGCAGAAGCCTTTTAT